TTTCTGTTTATGCTTCGAAATCGGGAGGGGGAGGAAGAAGGGGTGGACAGAGGGCACAGACGCGGTCCGGTGCCCAGAGAAACGCTCTGAGGCTGCGTTCAGCCCTTCCAGCCTCTCAATAATCAGAGGAGGTGTTAATGGAGGACTCGGCGGTAACTCAACCTCATAAAGCCCAGAGCATCTTGAGGCTGGGGCGCAGCAGGGGGGCTGGAGTCCCGCGGCGTGCCCTGGGCTCCCGGCCCCCCAGCCAGCTTTTGCCTCCCTGCAGCTTGTACCTAAAAGATGCTGCCGCCAGCTGGTGCCTGCATAGACGGTGGATGGGCGGTAGCTCCTGCGGGGAAACTAGGCTAAGCCATTGATTGTTCACCCACCGCGTCCCCGCCTTCCCCTCCCGGTCCCTCCTTCACTCTCCGCGCTCCGGGGCTGGGTATCAAGAACCCAACACTCTGGGGAGTATTCTGCGCTCGAAGTCGGTGTTTGCGGCGGGGTCAACAAGAGAGCCGGGGCATCTCTTCCTCCCGGGCCCCGGCTAGGGGATGGGGGTGGTGGTTAACCTTCCGGGAGAAAATCCGCACTTGGACCCGGGCAGGCAAAGGGTTCGAGGGGATGCAGCCAGACCTGGGACGGGGTGGAGGCCACATTACCTGGTGTCAGGTTCCCGAGGGGCTGCGTTGCCCGGCGCGCAGTCAGGCAGCGGGAAAGTGGAGGGAGAACCGGGAAGCTGGGCCTTGGGCCAGTTATTTACCCATTCCCCCACCCGGTACGCCCCTCACAGTCTGAGATGGGGAGGCGGGGGGTTACAGCAAGGCTCCCACACGGGTGGGGAGGAGAATATGAGCAGTGAGATTGGCCGCTCCAAGATGCTGGTCCGGGTGATGGTGCCGCCCTGCCTACCCGCCCCTCCTCCACGTGCCACCATAGCTACTCCTTGGCGGTGCATGGCTTGGGTCCAGGGCGCAGTGGGCGGGGTGGGGGGACGCCCGCTTGCCTCCAAGCCTCTTGCGAAAACCGCGTGGGATTGCGGCTGCACGTGGGGCACGTGGGGGTGGACGCCGCCTCCAAGCCTGCCCCACAAGCTCTGCCATACATTTTAGGGTCGGTAAGGAACAGACCAGGAGCTGGGAACCCGAGCTCCCTGGCTTTCTCTTTTCATCCCAAATCCGGGAATGTCGCTCGGAGTACCTCCTACAAGATCTCTCTTCCTACCCAAACATTTGGCTTCGCTAACTAGTCCCACCAGCCCGGTCAGTCCCACCAGTTTACCTTTCAATCTCCCCCACGCCTGACTTTCCTCGTTCCGCCCTGGCCTCCTTAGCTCTTTCTTCTAGAATATCCCCTATATCGGTCAGGTTTCGCAGCCAGGAAAAGACAGCCCTCCCGGGTTCATCTTCTATGCTCATCAGCGAGGCCATCGAATGGATGGACGGCGATACCCACCCAAAAACTCTTGGGTGCTTTCAACTCATCTCTGTCTAAAGCAACCGGGCTTAACCTCTTTGCGGTCCAATACCGTTTTAGGTATTTGGTAACGACATCCATTCTACACACACACACACACACACACACACACACACGCAGGCGCACTCACACTGAAACGCGCACCGAAGCTCACACTTTCGAATACAAATTTCTGCTTGGAGGATGTGGTCGTTAAAGCTCTCCCAATTCCTCTAGCGTCCACGATTCCTTGGTTAACACTGTCTTTTATGCCTGCAGTGCCAGAAAGGAAAGCCACGTGAATCTGTGCGTTTTGTGTCATGAGCCCAACCTCGAAGCTGTTTATGGGGACAGAGGTCAACCCAGTGCCCTGGGCACCCCAGCACACATCAGAGCATCCAGAGGTCCAGGGTACGCTGGACATTCCAGGGATAGCTCTGTCTCTGGCTAAAGATAGTTACGGGTTCTTCCACAACCTTTTTCTCAGAAATCAGGCTCTTTACAGAGACTGGCGAAATAGGATGTAGACTTTCTCTCCCCTCCACCCCCGACTTAAATATCTTACTTTTTTAATGAGGGGAGGGGATAGTTTTGGCATCCAGGATTATGTCTTAATTTTTGCATGGTAGTGAAAAAATAGCACCGATTTTTAACTCCTCCACCATAGACATCCAATCCACAAACTCAAGCCATGGCTTGAATGTTAGAAAAGATGAAATGGCAGGTGTCAGCAAGGAGTGGAGGGCGAGGTTCCTTTTGCACTAGCCAGGGGCTGTGGGATCTCAAAGTGCTCATAGGAAGACAACATGCCAATTGCCATTTGTCTGGTAGTGAGCTCTCTTCCCCAGTCTTGCCTGGAGACAAATCTAAGATTCGCAGATTTCTGACAGTGGAACCGTGTGTGTGGAACAGACTTTGCCAATGCCTTTGGAGAAGGGGTGCTGCTCTGGAACAAAGACATGTGCTAGGCCCAGAGAGTGCCTCCACTTCTTTTTTTTTTTTTCTTTTTTTTTTTGAGACGGAGTCTCGCTCTGTCGCCCAGGCTAGAGTGCAGTGGCCGGATCTCAGCTCACTGCAAGCTCCGCCTCCCGGGTTTATGCCATTCTCCTGCCTCAGCCTCCCGAGTAGCTGGGACTACAGGCGCCCGCCACCTCGCCCGGCTAGTTTTTTTGTATTTTTTAGTAGAGACGGGGTTTCACCAGGTTAGCCAGGATGGTCTCGATCTCCTGACCTCGTGATCCGCCCGTCTCGGCCTCCCAAAGTGCTGGGATTACAGGCTTGAGCCACCGCGCCCGGCGTGCCTCCACTTCTAAGGGCGCTGTTTCAAACACACCCTGTTTGGGAACCCTAAATTTTACTTGAAAAAATAAAAGCCCTTCTCTTCCCTGCTCTGTATAAACAGTGGGGGCAGTGCTGCTTCTTGAAGAGAGAGGAGTGTGCATCATGATCCACCTGCTGCGAGAATCAACGCTGCAGGGATCTGTCTTCACATCCCACCCTGATAACCTTCACAACAAGATTCCCCGGTTTCCGTTGGGTCGTTTCACATACGAAACAACCTAAAAATCAATTTCCCTTGATTTATTGCACCCTGGGGCAGAAGGAGTCTCCAGAAACCTTGAAAGTGAAGCAGCACCAGAGTTGATTTAAACTCTAAAGTCTCTAAGTAAGTCTCTATTTCTTGGCATCCACATGTGTTTGTATATATACACCTAATAAGAAACCTGAATTTTACTTTACAATGTGCGAATACAATATAGCTTAAAGCTCTTACAGGAGACCCATTTATGTGGCCATATTGTATTTAATGTGGAAGCACCCGCCCCCGCTGCCACCCCTAACATGTTGTTCACATGCATCACTCTAGAACTACAGCAAACTTCAGCCCTCCTTCTGGATCCAGGAGCAGGGAAGACTATGAGCATCTCTCTTCCCTAGTCCCCGCCGCAGCCCCCCAGCGGCTCCTTTGCTGTTGTTGCCCTTAAGGCTTGAAGTTCTGCCAGGAAGAATTGCCAAGAAGAATTACAAACGTCCCACATAAGGGTCCTCCGTGATGAACATCCTTTCTTTTTCAGCCAGTTTCCTACTACAGGAAGAGCACTGGGAAGAGGCAAGAGCTGCCAAGAGGAAGGAGGCATCTTTCCACCTGCTAAGGGGCTTTCTCAGAACAGTCTTACCTCAGACCCCTTTTCAAAATGAACTTCCTTTGTTCGTTCCCCTATTCTCCAGGAAGACGACATTTTAGACTCTTCTGTCTTGGGGGGCTGCTAAAGAAACATTATCTAGGCCCCACACAGAAAATGGCCTTGTTAATCTTCAAATCGAGCAGAAAACATGGAACTGTGGTTGCTTCTTGACCAAAAAATGGAAAGGAAACTGGCTCCCAGGAAGCCCTATGCTTTTCTGGAAAACTGCTTCAATGATCACAATGCTGATCACCTTCTCCTACTCCTCTGAATGTAGTTTCCAGATAGGACAGTACCAGTCCACAGACACCACTCTTTTACATCCTGCTGTTACCTCTCAGGGCTCATGGGCAGTGTTACTGAGGGCACCATGGTTAGAGCACCAGTAAAAGTAGGGCACAAAAAAAGGCAACAATTTGGGGAGACATTTTAATAGTTGACATTAAAAAAAAAAAGACATAATCAAGAGGAAAATTAGAACCTTATTGGGCTTCTTCTCGCTTATTTCACGGTTAAAAATGGCTTTTATTTTGAATTGAATGTGGGAGAAGGTACCAAAACATTTTGTTTGCTTAAGATTTCTAAAGCTGTTATTTGGGCCACAGGCAGAACCTGAGGCAGAACCCCGAGATGTCCAAGAACCTTTCAGATTCACTGAGGGAAGGCTGGGAGTCAGCTCTGGGCAAAGCCAGTCTTCCAAGTGGGCAGCAGCCTCATTTTTCTGAGCAGCTGCAACTGGTTAGGAAAGGGCTTCCTGGGGACTGCTATCCTCATAGGAAGCAGGGAAGGTGTGGAAAGAAGCTCATGTAAGCTCCTGACTCAGGCTGGAGACTGATGCCCACCGGCATCACCGCAGTGAATGAAAAGTGTACAGCTAATAAAATGTTCAAAGATAGGTTTGCCTAGGAAATGCCAAAAGAAATACAGGAGGAAAGGGTGGGGGACAAAAGAAAGGATGGTCTAAGTGACACATCTTCAGCTGCCTAACCCTCAAGTCAAAATGATTTAAAGTTTTTATTGAAAGAACAGATGGAAGATGAGAGCATTTCTTGATGCAGGATGGCACTTCTTGGGCATTCATATGCTGCACGATATATTATATCAATCTCCATATAGCTCAAGATATAAATAAAATGAAGAATATATTAAAACTCTTCTATTTGCCAGCGACCTCCCTTGGATTGCTAACACTGAATGAGAAAACAGTAGGAGAACGGAGGCTAAGCAAAACCAAGAGCTACTAATGTGACCCGATTGCTACTATTTATTTAGTGGAACAGCCATTATTTTCTTTCTTCAACATATGTGTCTGATAATGAAGCAAAAAGAAAGGAAAATAACTATCAATGTGCCATTTCAGAAACACACAAACATTTGTTAGCTTTTTCATTTTATTGATGTTCTTTTAATATATGTATTTAGGATTAAACTAGTGTTCAAAACTAATAACCCAGCAATTCTGAATTAGGGCTTTATTTTTTTAAAAAATACAAGCACAGTTAGAGAACAGAGATGAAATTGTTGTCAAACATAAAAATATGAATTGAATTGCTTCTTTTTAGATGGATCTTTAACATTGACTTGACCATACGGACACTGCAGAAGAAATAAAACAAATTATTACTAAATATTTAACAATCATCTTGAAAAAGCAGACTTCTCATGGTGACAAAAAGAGACTGTTAACAATTTTATATAGATCATTTGATCTATCAGGTCCTGCAGACTAAGAGAATATTGGCAACCTCAGGCAAATGGTCCTAATTAGCATCCAAGAACCATTTCCTAAATTCATCCTTCCAAATTTAAGAATTTTACTGTCAAAAAAATCCACTTTTAGAAAATCCTCAAGTCCTCAATTTACAAAAAGCTCTTAGGCATTTGATTAGAAACAGCTAAGGGCACAGGAACATACATAAAATGGAAGGTTTAATTTTTAATCCTGGCTATAGTTAATACATGCATTTAGTGTCTATTCTTTAATTATAGAGTGGCCAGTTAAAGGAAATTACACCTTCTTGCACCAAAACATACAAAGTATTCTGTAAACAGAGGTTGTTACTGTTTATAATCTTGACCTACAACAATTTACCTCACCACTTTGCCTTTAAAAAGTAATAGTGAAGAACCCATTTCCATTTATTTTTTGCTTATAATAGGGAAGGAGAAGTTAGTTTATCTTAATTAGTGAACATAAAGAGGTACCTATTGAAATAAACATTTTAGGAAATGTATAGGCACTACATGCGGTACAATCTTGTTTCACAGTTATTTCAAACACAGACTGGAAAAAAGCCACAGAAAGAACCAGAGAGAGGAAGGGTGGGTGGGGGGGAGAGAGAGAAAGAGAGAGAGAGAGACAGGAGGAAAAATGGGAGGGAGTGAAGGAAGAAAAGAAGAAATGAAAAAATCATTATCTGAAGGAAACCTACCTCTCAATGCTGGGTGAGTTTCTATTTATTCAACTAATAAAGAAGAGGGATCTAGTTTGCAACATTCTAGATTTCTTTTCCTGCCCTCTTTGTACTTGCCTAATGAAAACAACTTATTTGAAACCCCATGAAAAGTTTCCTTGTAATAAAGAGCTCCCATGAATTTCAAATCACAGCATTTCAAGGAATTGATGCTCACAGTGAAATTTTACAAAATTCCATTAACTTTAAAGGTCCTACGTTGGTACTAAGGACTTCATTGTAGTTGGCTAAAGTAGCTTGTAAAAAGTGCACTCCAGGTCTATTTGGCTTTTTTATTTGACTTGTTGTTCAAATAATAGGTATTTACGAAGTTACAGAAGCACCGCAAACTGCTGCTGTAATGCGAGAATTGCTACTCACATGTCTGCAAGCAGAGCCACAACATTCACCTCTTTGCAAGTGGGCAATCTGTGTGAGCACCACATAGCCAGTAGCTGGATCCACATAGTTTAGCTGGCCAGCCTGAAGTGCAATAAAATGAAACAATTCATTAATCTCAATATTCATCATATCTCCTCACCATTATGTCTACTCATAAAATACTGCAGAAAATTTTAAACAATATTAAACTTCTTCCCAGCAGTTTTAGTGGCACTTGCAATTAAAGACCAAAAGCACTCCAGCATTATATACAATCCAACTTTATGTGACATAAGGAGAAAATATACAGTTTGAGAAAAATGAGAAGTTGATGGAAAAACAAGAACTCCTCTGTACCTAATAACTATGTAGCCACTGCTCTGATATTTTTCATTTGGTTTCTAGGTAACAAGCTTAATAACAGGTGATTTAAATGATTTTAAGAGCTTAAGAGGCTGAAAATGAACTTTCACTCAGAAGTTGCAGTTGGAATTTCAGTACTTAAAATATGTGGATAATGATTTAAACTTACAGAAAAGGCGCTAATCAAAACCAACGGTCCTTATAGAAAAGTATTACCTTTGCTATTATTGAACACTTTCTTTACCTTCATGTGTTACTTCATTGCACATTTTATACAATTTTTTTTTTTTTTTTTGCTGGTGTGTTATTAGTTGTATTTTTAAGTGAAAAAAAGTATTGTTTTAACATATTAACTCACTGCTTTGACAAGTTTGATCAAAAGAAACTTTTATTGTACTATTTCAAATGTCAAGGAAGTATATTCTATCTACATTCAAACATGACTTAAAAAGGCGTCTCAAGTACTTTGTGGGAAGGGAAAAGTAAATAACACAACCTTTTCTGTGGATTTGGGTCGTGTGGATGATATTACTTAGCCTTGGGTTTTTGTAGAGGAAAGTTCCCATGCACTTTTTATATAACCTTTTTACCACGCAGTAACTCAGTGTGTATCAATCTTGTACAGAGCCTTTTTCATTAAAATACACATGAAACTTGCATATCTTATGACAAACACATTTTTGTATGAACCACCAACAACTTCTTCAGTGTCTTATTTAATGGCAGAATATTTTATTCTGGTTGAGGTTTTAACCCAATATGTTTCATGAATAAAGTGTGTAGCAAAAGGACAGGCACAGTTAAGTCTAGTCTCACCCTAAGGCATTCCAGCAAAGGTAGAGCAGGGCAGGGCAGCAGAAATCCAAGCAAGTCCCAAGGCTGGTCTGAGAGAGGCTTCCCAAATCCAGTGGGACCACAGAAGCAGATTACAGGAAATCAGGAGCACTCAGCACTACCTTAGAATGACCGATTGTCAGGACCTCACTTCTTTATTTATTTACAAAGCTCCTGTTTGGAGACTTGGAAGAAAAACAAAAAAACACTAGGAACTCTGTAGCAGGCTTCTTTTCACTTTTCATAGCTTCTGGGAGTCTTCTGAGGGCAATTATCTGGCAACCTGGAAGCCTAACAGATTGCTCCTGCGCATGCGCCTGCTCTACAGCTTTCCATGTTGATTGAGCACCTCTGAGCTTGCTGGCTGCCCACACAAACTTAATTTGTCCTCAGTAAATGAGCGTCACGTAATGGTGGCCACAGACAAAGATGAGGCAAGGGTGCTGACAGTTTGACTGGAGAGCAAGATGTTCAGTGATGCGCATCGGTACCCAGAGAAAGGTAAGAGAGCTATCTGCCTTGAGGCTGGAAGAAGGACCATCGTGAAGGGGCTCTGATTTGTCGAAAAAGAAAAACAAGCAGCTTGTTATTTACTGGGCTTACTTATGGTCTCCTGGATAGTCATTTAACCTGTGATACTGACATGATGAAACAAGTGTGGATTTCCCGACTGAGAAAAAGTTCCTTTCCTTCCCTAGGCTGATTGAAAATTTCTTCACATGATACTGGTGTTTGCTCTAAAGAGAATGAAACTTTTCTTTAATATCTACCATATCTATATGGTGAATTATGAGAACAAATTACATACTTTTTTTTTTTTTTAAAGGAGAGCATAACCAAGAACAATCAAAAGCTGCCAGTCACTTCCTAATGAGTCTTTATTCAGTTTCAACACTTGAACGGGTCAGACCGACGTGGATTCTCAGGGCCTACTAACTGTCATTACTGAAATAAGTCAATTTGAGGTAAGCTCCGAGATTTTCTTCTCTACCCCTTTGGCTTAAGTCATACCATATAGTATCAGTCCCATCAAGTACTGGAGGCACACACACACAGCTTATTAAATGGGTTCATTTCATACTTCTTTTCTATCTTTAGTCAGTTTCTCTTTTTTTCTGTTTCTTTTGTAAAGGTAGTAACATAACCAAGCTGCCTTTAAACTCACGCAGACTGTGTTAGAAGGCGTAAAGGGAGAGAAGTTTAGATACTGGTACTAACAGGCAATTGTCAAATGCGCAAAACAAGAGAAAACAGCTCGAGTGTCTTCAAACGCCAGATTGTAGTTCCCTCTACTCCGCCCGCTAAGAGTTAAGAGAAAGGACAAGAAGGCAATGGAAAAATTAAAATAAATGTGTCAATGTCTTATTTTTTTCATTTTTAAGAATCACTGGATGGCTAAGTGTTCAACTGACAATGCAGAAAAACACACATTTTTGTTGTGACTTCTCAGTCTCTCCACTTTCTCCATCAATTCCTTGACACCCCCTTCCGCAACACACACACATACACCACAAAAGAGTGCACCGGCAGTGGGTCCTACACCGCGACCGGAGTTTAGCTCGGACGCTGATTGGAAAACCAATCACACTCATACTCAAGACAGATACAGGGTAAATAAACCCTTTGTCTAGAACGCGAACTGTGGCCAGTTTTCCCGCGAAAAGGTCGGAGCTGGAAGCTAGTGTGCGTGCGCGCGTGTCGCCCGAGGCAGGACAGCACCGGCGTCCAGCAACTCTTGCCTCTGCCCGGCGGCCTTCGGGTCCGGAGAGGCCCGGGATGCGCAGGCGCGCCGAGCCCCGGGCGGCCGCGGCGGGGGCGGGGCGGGGCGGGGCGGGGCGGGCAGGAGGGGGTCTCACCGCGCAGGCGGCAGCGTGCAGTTCTGCGATCCGTCGCTCCGCCACCGTTAACTCTTCGCTCACCGAAGGCCTCGCCGCTCTCTCCGGCCTACTCGGCGTGCCGGGCGCGGAGCTGCCGCAGTTTCCCTCGTTAGCAGAGTAGAGGGTTAAACTGAGCTGCTGTCGGAACCCAGCTCGGACCCAGAGAGGTGCTGGCTGTGGGGCGGCGGGAGGTTGCCTCCAGAGCGCGGGACCCGCCAGTGCCCAGATCTGCCTGGCCGCCATGCCGCCGCCGGTCTTGGGAGGCGGAGCACCCGGCGCTGGGCCCCGAGGGGCGGCCAACGCGGGCCTGAGCCCGGCGAGCCGGTCTTGGGCAGCTAGTGGCCACCGCTGCGTGGGGTCGGTTTGCGCTGCCAGGGGAGCAGGTGGAGGCCCACGGACTGAGCCTTCTGCCTTCACCACCGGGCCCGCTGCGGAAATAAAATGGGCTTTTAAGGCAGCTAACGAGGCTCTAATGAGCTGCCAGGACGGGGAAGAGCCTGCTGTTTCTACATCTTTGGACTTGAATTCTAAGCTCTTCTTCTTCTCCCCCCACGCCCACCCAGCTGAAAGGTGGACATTTTTTCTCATGTCAAACTGGACTTGGGATCATTCAGTATAATCTCCACTACTGTTAAGATCCCAGGAAGTGATCAAAAGACCTGAGGTTTGTGAATCACCACCTTGGGCCTATCCAGAAAAGACTGAGTGTTTCCAGGTAATATGTGATACGAATAAAGGTGGAAGTGGAGCCGCCTTTGCTTGGTTCTTTGGCCCACCCTAAAATAAGGGCCAAAAGTAAAATCGTACACTGAATAAGAAAAGGTGTTGTGTTCATGTTGCTGAATAGTTACAAAATCAAAACTAAAACCCTTTTTCCTTTCTGATAGTTGAAAGTTATCTTGATACCGTCACAGAATTGAATTTGAGAAAATTATCGCAAGCCCAGGAGGTAATTTCAGGTGTTAGCATTAAATTAACACCACCCCTTCTTCCTACCCCCAGTCTGGGTTTCAAGAAAAGGAGGGCTGAAGAGTACCAATTTTGTTAGTGCTCTTCAATATTGAAGAACTGAGGGCAGGAATTGATCTTTGAGGACAAAAGTTGATTCTTCAGCTGTATAGGAGAAAGGTGACTAAACCACTATAGACCATCACTACGTGTTTTTTTGGTTTCTGTGTTTACCATGCAACCCTGTAGTCATATTGTCATTTTCTTAAATCTCAGCAGGAGCTGATCGAAACAATCCTATTGGTTCATTAAAAATCTCAGTGAATTAATAAATTGGAATTCTATTTTGCAAATTGGTTTTCTTTTTGTTGGAATAAAAAATTAGGATCTGGAGACTGTTTAGTAATCTGAGGAGAGTTTAAAATCTGGAAAGCGAAGGAGGGACCGACCCTAGGGAAAGCTGCGGAAGAGTGGGACCAAACTTGAGATCACCAAAAGTGAACAACTGTGATGTTACTCACATTTACCATAAGTCAGGTCCCCGCACCAACGAAAACCCGAAATTAATTTATTGCATTGTGTTTAAAATTAAGGATCAGGATCCACTAATAGGACATCGATTCAAAGGATAGAGACAGCATTTTACAGGAATGAAATAGACTAGACCATATTTAAATAGAAAATAATAGAACTATCTTATCTAGGAAGAGTACGTATTGTTACATGAAACTTCTTTTGGTGGAGATGAGAGGGTGTTAGTGACTGTAAAGGGCTTGAACAACAGAGATCTTGTGGGTAACAGAATAATTCTTTATCTTGACCATGATGATTACACAAATTTATATGTGATAAGATGCCATGGAGCTATACATACGTTGTTTTAATGTCAGCTTCCTGGTTTTCATACTGTACTGTTAGCATTAAGGTGTGAGCATTGGGGGAAACTGGGTGAAGTAAATACAGTACCATATCTGCAACTGCATGTGGACCTATAATTATTTCAAAATTTAAAAACTAATTTTATTTTTTTTGAGACAGAGTCTCACTCTGTTGCCCAGGCTAGAGTGCAGTGGTACAATCATAGCTCACTGCACTCTCTAATTCCTGATTTCAAGTCATCCTCCTACCTCAGCCTCCCGAGTAGCTGGAACTACAGGTGTGTGCCACCATACTTGGCTAATTTTTTATTTGTAGACACGGGGTCTCCCAGTGTTGCACAGGCTGCTTTTGAACTCCTAGATTCAAGGGCTCCTCCCACCTCTGCTTCCCAAAGTGCTGTGATTACAGGTGTGAGCCATCACGCCTGGCCTAAAAACAGCAATTTTAAAGAGATGTAGAAATGAATTTCGGATTATTTGGTAAAGCAGATTACTGAATTAACCAAAAACTTTTTTTTTCTGTCTTCTCCATTCCCATTATCATTTAGATGTTGAGTAGATTACCTGCCCCCTTCAATTTTCATTTGAGCTTCATACTTTAGAGTCCATGTCATTTCTCACCAAGTAACTTTCATTCATTATGTCTCTTGTTTTAGAAAGCCTCCTCAGGACTTTACCCTTAGCTTATTCTATCATGTGCTCATTTCTCAGATTCTCTGTGCTCATAGTAGACGAAACTGTATGAAAGTGGGGTACTAAGTCCCACCTTAGAGTGTTGCATAAAGTTTGAACTTTATTTACAAAGTATTTACATTTAGATTTGCCCTAGAAAGAGTCATTTTGTGCCACAACCCTGTGTGTAACATGTAATGTAATATTTGATATATTTTATAACATTGATTATATCATTTGGGATATTTGTGTTAATACTGAACATGCTTGTTATGTTGGAGGTGGGGAGATCAGAGAAATGCATTCCCCTAGATTTCATTGATATTAATTTTTAAATAGGTATGTTAGGACTCTCTAGGTTGCAAGATACAGATTACACAACTCAATCGGGTTACAATAAAAGGAATGTGTTTGCTCATATAACCATGAAGCATGACTTGATTCAGGATTCAACAGGGCTTGGTTTTCATTTTTCTGCTTAGCCTCTTCAATGCTAATTCTCTTTTCAGGCAGGCATTTTTCTCATTGGTGAAATAAAGCTGCAGACAGTTCCCATGGTTTCATCCTTTCTGGTCCTTGTCCAAGTTTAAAAAAAAAAAAAAAAAAAAAAAAAAAAAAAAAAAAAAAAAAAATTTAAAAAAAAAAAAAAAAAAAAAAAGAAGAGTCATGTTATGAAGCTCCAGGATAAGAGAAACCCTTTTTCCCTTCTGAAAGTCCTGTCAGCCATATCTTTATCATGTGCCCATTTCAGAACCAGTCTTTTGAGTATAGATTATACTTAAGCCAATCAGGGTCTATCCCTGGATCTGCCTCTGGGCAACCCACCCAAATCTATTGCTGAAAATGGCCTGTATTAATGCTGAGGATACAATTCACAAAAGATCACTATAGCGTGACTTTCAAAAGCAAAGAAAATTCCGCCAGCCCACCCAGTCCTTTTTAATATTTAGTATTTAAAAGTTCATTTTTAAAGTTTTTTTATGTTCCTCTGTCCCCTCTAAAAGCCTTCCTTTGATTTCTCACAATTATTTGTGCCATTTCAACTTTTTGTATTTTTTTGCATTGTTTTCCCAACAGGTCATATTAGGGAACATGTCATTTTCATCTTTTTATCTCCACAGCCCAACTTGTACTTCTGCAGAAAGTATTACGGTACAAGGTGAATAATGAATAATGAGTTTTTGAATGGATAAATGAGTCAGCAGTTTTTTATTCTCAAATACATATTCCTAATTACTGGACAAAAATGTCATGAAATTTTAATATTAAATTTCTATACATAGTATTGCATATTTGAAAATATGTATTGTTGCAAATATTTCTGTAAAAAACTAAGTGAAAGAGATACTAAATCTGAAATCTTATTGAATTATATTATTAAATAAAATGACCTATTTTACTGACAAATAAGACAGATGCATATATTATTAAATGATCTGATCTAAGCCCTTGAGATGCTGCCTTTGACTTTAAGTGTTACCTTTTAATGAATTATGAATGTATTGAGCTGATAGTGGACAAATGATTGCTGGAACCACAGAGCTACCAACAGACTTCTTGTCCATTTACTGCCGGTTTTGCACACTTCCATTTGGACACTGATTATGTATTTGATGTTTTCTAAATACCCGAATGGTGTGTTATGACATGCCATGCTCCATGTAGAGTGGATTTTCACTATCAATTCTTATGATTGAGAGCAAATGTTACATGCCCCTAAGGTTGCCTATAGGGAATCTTTGTTTCATTTAATCAGACATCCAATAGCACACTTTGTTTCACAGAGCTGGTCTTAGAAAATTCTTTTGGGAATTATAACCATTTCTATTTGCAAGTCCAGCAAATCTCTGCCGACTTCACAGTGGATGTGACTCCACTAGTGTTACATGCCTAGAGCACTGCTGCATTTGGCTCTCATCTTTCCATTTTGTTTTTGTTATCTTGGACGAGTATAGATGAGCTATATAATATGAAGTAATCTAGCCATTTCATCTCTTCATCCACTCAGTCATTCTCTAATGGAATGGTAGTCTGGCTTCTACCTGCACTGCCAATTTAAAGTGTTACTAAATCCAGTGCACTTATACAGTACTCTCCTAACTAACACTCCTTGTACTTTTAAGGTGGTCAGTCTTCTGCCCCTCAAAGCTATTCTCTTGACTTCTTCAACCCCAAATTCTTAAAATTTGCTTTTTATTTTTACGATTATTCTTTGAATTTTTAAAGAGCCCTTCTTCTGTCCTCTCCATCCTTAAATGTTGATTTTCTTCAGATTTCTTCAGCAATTCTCAGCCCACTGCTCTCACTGTATAATCCTTCTCCAAGTGATGTTATCCATGCTTATGTTTTTAATCTATTACCATGTAATGATTCTTTATCATGTTGAAAGCTTTTGAGAGCAACATACCTATCTAGCCATCTGCCTGCTAGACATAGATGTTTAAAATCCCCAAACTCATCATGTCTAAAACAGACTTAATCACCATTACCTTTGAAATCTTACTTTTCCATTTATTTTCAATTTTAAAGGCATGGGTGCCCAATCATTCATCAAATTCAGAGATCTTGGAGTAATTGTACACTTTTTCTACATCTCCCCATCCAGACTGTCACCAACTCTTGCCAGTTTCGTCTGTGAAGTCTCAAATTGTCTCCAATTTGTCAAAAAGTCTCAAGTTGGTCCTTTCCTTTGCTTCTATCATTGTTCGTTGTCTTTATCATTTCTTTCCCCTGACTACAGCTATAACAGAATGGTTTCTTAATGGAAATAATATATAAGGAGGGCTTACTGTGTATCAGGGCACTCTGATAAGTGCTGGAGATTTATTATTCATATTTTGCATCTGCTGTTTAGTCTGACAAAAAATACCCTGTTCTCATCACCTCAATCTTCAGCTCATGTCCTTAATGAAGTTATACCTGTATTTAAAGCTTCAGCCTATGTGCCACCTTCTCTAGTAAGCTTTTCCTGACTGCTCACTCTACTCCTTGTCTCCTTTCCCCAGTCTTCTCTGCAGGCTGGCTCGGCACGCCACCCCATGGCTCCCATAATATCCAAAGCATGACTCTACTTTTGCACTTTCCTATTGTATAATTTTATGTTTATGAGTTTTTACTGCCAGACTGTGAGGTCTTTAAGGATAAAGATTGTCTTAATAATCTGTATCTCCAGTAGCACAAGTTCATAGGAAATGCTTTAAAAAATGCTTGTTTAAACGAATAGATGAATGAATAATGGCGGCAAAAACCTACATATGAGTAACATAGCAAATAAATTATACAAATGTATTTTTCCCTAATATTTTATGGTTATGAAGCAGTATTGGGTTTTGCCAATACATCAGTTGTTCTCTGGCTATTGTTTATGAGACACAATATACTGAAATAACAACATACTGTGATTTTATTTGGCAATCCATTTAGTAAGTTTCCCCCAAACAGTCATTGAATTAATGGTAAGTGCAGTGTATGAGCTGCATTCCAAATGAAGTAAGTATATGTTGACAGTGAAGTGTAGCCTTGTTAACCCTGAACAATCATTTCAATTATAAACTACATGTATACAATCACTGTCACATAAAATATCCAGACTAATTACTTCTAGCCCTTTTGTTATACAAGTATTAGATATGAAACCCACTCTTATGTATATTTAGTATAACAGTGAAATCTCCAGGAACATTGTTAGAAAAAAAAGGAAGAATTTTTACATTAGTAAGATAAATGGATTAGTATCATGCTTTTAAAATTGCATGGGCAGCCACTGTTTTATAGGATTTCCCACATATCAACACATTTGTAATAGATCTTGGTTAAGACCATAAATACAACATACAAATCAGAGCATTGTTCTCTGCACTCTTGTTGCTGCCTGAGGGAGAAAACCATGTCCACTGTTCCATGACTGGAATGAAAGGCACACTGAGTTTTAGGTCAAATATCCATGACATTGATGTGTATGACTAGTCTACTGAGTATGATACATGTTAATATCTTCCCAGTGGTGGGCACGAGCGATATGGCTCAGTGATCAACACAGCACACACAACCCCTTTAGGTTTTCTACAGGTGTAAATTTGATGCATCTTTGAAATCCTGTGGAATGTGATTCTTCAATGTGCAGTTAAACTGTACTATTGCTATGTGAGTTTTCTTCTTTGTATAATTCTGTAAGAATGTCATCAACATCAGTTGCTCCATCTGATGATATTTTTGATGGCACATTTCAGACAGCATTGTTATAAGCTAAACCTGTTTGCATTGCATTGTTGGACCAATAAAAACAGAAAAAGCAAAGTTTCATGGCTGACTGAGTGCTGCAAAATATTAAGTGCTATGCCCACCTTATGATTTCTGAAATGGTCAGTGGTACATTTGTAACGTAATTTTTTAATTCGTATACAATCTAAGTTTTATGATAGAAACATATATTCTTCCTATCATCTTATTCCATTGTTAAGGACAGTGACTCACCCATAATTCACTGAATGAATATGTTCTTGA